AAAATAATTGCGGAATTCAAGGGTTCGGTTTTGAAAGTCAAAGTCAAAGAATCATTTATTCCATAGGTAAAATAAATTTACAATTGAATACGTCATATTTAAACTACTGCTCGTTCACTACGCTGACTTCCCTGAGAAGAACGAGCAAGAAACTCTAGGGATTGGTCTTTTTAAATAAACTTAAATGCTGTGGCATACACTTCGTATCAAATATTATGGATATCTTTTGTTTTTATATAATATCAAGTTACGGGACTGCAACTGTACATAACAGTTTCAGCACCACTCAGAGCTTCAAATCGCAAATCCCGTCACCCTGAGACATAAGTTGACAAGTCCCATGTACCTGTAATTTCACCAGCACCCTTACCCTTCATAACCGAAATGCAGTAATGTTAACATTACTGCTTGGCGGCAGAAATAGGTAAGTATCGTATAATAAAGTATCTTCTTTCTCATTGAAATTATGTATATTTTTATAGTCATATAAAATATTCGAGTAAATGTACTGTGATGCCACAGTCATGATACCAGTCTCCATAAACTTTTCTCTGAGAGAAACCCGAGGGCCTAGACGGTTCACAGAACGAATCGCTCGTTTATGCAATACAAATGTGGTTTGAATATCTGCCGCTTTACCCCACATGAGAATCCTGTAGGACATATGGAAGTAACTAAAGTAAACTAGTCTAGTGGTACTAACATCGGTAAGCTCACGTATTCTGCGGACTGCGAATGCAGCGGAGCTTAATCTGCTGGCTAGGGAAGATATATGTGGAAACCATTGAAATTTACCATCAAAGGTCACTCCCAAGAAGACTGCTTTATTGACAAGGTCTAACTTTTCTCCGTTTATTTCTATGCTTGGACTAGTCGATTTTACGTTAGGTAATCCAAATTTAGCACATTTTGGTTTCTTGGCATTAAGCAATAAATTGTTAGCATTAAACTAATAAACTACCTTTGAGAGGGTTTCATTCATATGGTCACAGTTAATGTCATGCCTGTCTGTTTTAAAAATCAAGGACGTGTCGTCAGCAAACAATACTATTTCGAGATGACGAGACAAGTTCCGCCGCCTTACCATTTACACCGTAATATTGAAGCTTTCTAATAAGAGTAATATGGTTAATGCAATCAAATGCCTTTGAGAGGTCTCATAAAATACCAACAGCGTTCTGGGACCTTTCCCAAGCATCAAAGATGTGTTTTAGTAACGCTATCCCCGCATCGCTAGTCGATCTACCACTACTAAAACCCGTATTATTCACTATGAAAAATATGATTCCTACCGAAATAGGACAGTAATTGAGTCAGCTTAACCTTCTCGAATATTTTACTTAAAGCTGGTAAAATTGAAATGGGCCTGTAGTTGCTAGGATCAACTTTCATACCGCTTTTGAATATGGGAATAACCTTGCTGTATTTCATTAAATCGGGAAATACACCATCGTCAACGCACCTATTGAAGCAACAGCTAAATGTGGGGAAATTGGATCAATAACTGAGTCTATAACTTTAGTTGATATGCTCCAGAGACCTTTAGTTTTTTACCATGTATTGATTTAAAAGTTTTTATGATGTCTTGTGGATTAACATGACGCAAATTAAATCAACTACCACAAACGTTAACATTTTCCTTTAGGAGATCAATAGCAAGAGAAAGGGGGGGAATTAAACGATTCTGCAGTGTTCACAGCAATTTCCGAAAAGAAGGATTCAAAAGCTTGGGCTACCTTGTCTTTAGATTTTATAAGTTTGCCGTTTAATTCTAAAACTATATCTGTATCGTGTTGTTTAACCCTGCCTGACTCTATATTTATTATGCCCCAAGGAGTTTTAGATTTATTTATCGGTTGTCTAATTTTGTCGGTGTGAAACTTAACCTTAGCACCTACACATACTTTTTAAAATATTTTTGGATAATTTCTAACATATTCTATAAAATTGGAATTAGTATTATAAGTTTTCATAGCATATAGCTCATACAAACAAGACCTACTCTTATGAATACCTACTGTTGCCCAGTCGTTGAATTTAGTCTCTCTATGGAAAGTTATTGTTTTCGGTTTAAATACATTATCAAATTCATTTTTAAAGTATTTGGAATCTCCGGTATATGGAGTAGGGAATTTAAACTATTGCCGATATTATTTTGAAATCTAATGATTCATTCTGTGGTAATCGGTCTGCAGAGAAATTGGTCTACCTTCTTGCTCATTTTACAATTAAAAGAAGCCTTGGTCACTATGGCCTGATCTTAAGCAATTAATTATTGATTTTGACACTGCGTCTGTGTTACAAAAGATGTTATCAATACAAGTAGAAGAGGAAGCAGTGATGCGAGTTGGTTCTAAGAAAAGATTAGTCAAGTTGAAACTTTTTAATAAATTAATGAGTCTTACAGAAGTAGAACAGTTTTCCAACAGGTTTACATTGAAATGTCCACATATTACTACGTTTTTTGGTTGGAAACATTTTTTAAATTTTAAGTTACGTTTAATAATAATCATAGATCCGCCTCTACATATGTTGTTTCTTATGAACGAACTGGCTATTACATAATTTTCTATGTTGTTAATTGCTTCGTAGTCTTTCAACCAGTGTTCTGTAATACAAAACACGTCAACGGAAATATGGTGTAAAAAGAATTATTTCTAATGTTTTGACAGAAAAGTTTTGAATATTTTGATGTACTACATGGAAACGATTGACTTTTCTGTTGTCGTGTTTATCAGCTTAAATTATGGTTAGTAACTAATATGTATACTGTTGGTACTTAAAATAGGCGCATTGTCGTGGGACTGTAACAGCATATATAGTATTAAAAGGTAGCAAACTAGCTACATGTCTCGGATACCTTATGGGTAAAAGTAACTTATCATCAAAAAGTTTGAAGTTCCTTACGAACTTATTAATGTCAAAACAAAATATAACGTCACTATGACGTCATGTCAAATTATGAATATGCAAATTTATGTTGTATAAATACTTATTACGAGTGATGCCTAGGTTAGAGCAACAAGGGAGTGCACTTAGTATGAATTTACACCCACACTTTTCATGAATTCTCAAGAAAACGTCAATACTATTATTTATTCCTTTTTTACTAATGTGATTACTATCTCCTATTATAAGTAAGATTGTTGTATATTTGTCAAAGTTGTAACCACTTAACAGTGTAATAATTTGAGTAAAAGTAGCTCCTGGATAGCAATAGTTGACTACCCTTTGCTTTAAGTGGTTACTTAGATGGTGACCTAGTCCTACGCCTATTTTATCAGAAAAAAACTACCGTTCTATTGGATGGCCTGGTAGGAGTTCTAATAGTCTTGGTTGACTGTTGAGTGTGTCAAACTTCAACAGTTGTAGTGTAGCAGATACGTTTTCCTATAGCAACACTGAAATACGATGTCCGTACAGGTTGCGTTGATGATGTAGGTGATGGGTATGGAGTCTGATTTATCTCTACTGGATCATCGATTTCACTAAGCTCATCCTGAAGAAGGACTTAAGTCAGTTCTCTATACTCAGTACCCAGCTTTAAAAGCTCATTAGTTGCAGCTGAAAGTTCTTTTATGTGTTTCTGCGTAGAATATAGGTATTTAGTTCGCGATTGAAGATCTAACTCCAGATCTTACACTTGTTCGACTGTCTTCACCTTGTCCTTGTGTAAATTTAATTTTGCTGATTTTAGTTTCTTTAGTGTTCAATTTCTTTCTTATCGTGTTCATTAATTTGGAAAATCTTGGGATTTGCGATTTAGTACTGCATTATTTACTGTTGCATTCCTGTCTCCCATGGCTAGTTCATCACGGAGTGAAAAGGTCGTTAGGTGGTCGTAGTTTCCGCTTTGTTCATGTAATGATGGAACTTCAGCATTTGATTCCATTACCTGTCTTTCAAGAAAACTGATACGGTCTAAGGCGTCTTCTTGTTGTTGGTGATTTTCTCGGAAGCTCTCTATAATTAATTCCTTTCGTTTATACTCTTTTTCTAAATTTTCACAAAATCATCAAATTTCAAAAAATTTCCCTGTTAATATCATACGTAAAATCTTGTTTTTAAGAATTTATATTATTTGCCCATACCCATTGTATTTAATATATACAAAGGGTTTTAATTTTATAAATACTTATTAATAACTATGTACTAGTTCATCAATCATAATTTGCATTCGAAAAGCGGTAATGCAATATTAATTTTATGAAGTTTATAATCTAATTTATTATATGAATTTATTTGAATATCATACTCACACTTAATCCATTATTATTTCATTAAAACTATGTAGCAGTCACAATCAATTGAACATATACAAACTGTCTTACATCAATTTGTATAATTTCATACCGAGTAGTAAATACCAGTCATGGTTATTCGATATTGATATTCAAAATGCTATAAACGCCATTCGAATATTTCCTTAAATGTATTGAAAATGACGAATTAAGTATGATTAAGCGCTAACACGAAAATCATGAAGTGTGAATAACTTAACCATAACTTAATATTATCCATTGAATTTTAAGATTTATAATCTTCAATGCCATGCACTCGTTGCCGAACATTTTAAACTGATAAATTAATTAACATTGACGATTTTTTGTATGCTAACTTTCGAATAATATAGTACCTTTCTGAGTACTTCTAAAAACACAATTTGATACAAATGATGTTAAACAAATAGAAATAATTTATTTTATCAATCGTCGCATATTATCTGAAAATAAACGTTCTTTTCTAATCCAGTTTACCCTAAAGAATGCTGGAAAAAATGGAAATTTATATTTCCATATTTTCAATTTAAATAGAACTTGACTTGAGAAACGTAATCTAACAACTCGCTTTTATTGCCAGAGCTATGACTATTATTATATATGATTATATATTATGACTAACTTACCTATCTGCAAGTACAAAAGTTGACTAATTCTTCGCTGCTAGATAAAATATAATCTGATATGATTGTGATAACTAACAGAATATTTTCGAATCAGGTTCGACCAAGGCAAATCGACGAAAGGCGCGAGCAAGCTCCGACGCGACCTCATCAACGCAGAGATCGCCAACCTGCGGGACCTGCTGCCCCTGCCGCCCTCCACCCGCCAGCGACTCTCGCAACTGCAGCTCATGGCCCTTGTCTGCGTCTACGTCAGGAAATCCAACTACTTTCAACAAGGTTTGTCATTGCACACCCTTATGTTACATAACTTTGCATAGAATCGAAGACAATATCAATATCGAGTCTACATGCTGGATTATTTCTTTCATTTCCTGGTGAGACATTAAACTTATCTTTGATGGTACCATTGCAATATATAGTTTCATATTTCTAGCGAGAGCATATTTATTTAAAACTACATTAACGATACCTGCACACCCATAACCCGTATTATGATTCATTACAACTTGCACCCTGACACCGGCTGCCAGTCCATAACACTAACAAACCTCATGCGTATGTATCTAATACGCATGCGGGATGCGCTGTCATCACGCCTCTCGCCCATAGCGTTAAATAGGATAAGCGTCGGATAATTAGATGTCTACCATTTGCATATCTACTACTATGGCACACCGACTATTTTCAAGGCACAAAAAATCGTATAGTAAGTAAACCAGAATCAGTCATTATTGATTTATTTAATTTCTACTACGCTATGTATATTTATAATTGATATGTACAATAATTTTCATCAGTCCATGTATGCCTACATCTGGACTACGTGGATCATAGGTACAAAGTTATTTACTTAATTATATTTATATAATCGCTTCAACAATATATTTTTATGATCGTTTTATGTCATAAAAAACCTTTCGATATTAAAAATCTTGCACTGACCTTTATTACTAACCAATTCGTCTAGTATCGGTCATTTAGTAGTATTCTTTCCTTCAAGCTCAATTTAGCGTATTACGACAAGGTCGAATTTCACGTGAACACAGGCGCGCATGCATGCGAACCACACGCTCTACCGCCTTGAAAGCAATGCACCCACAAAAATCAATAATTACATAACAAAATCGATGTTCTCACGATCTTAACAACAGTTAGGTAGATGACGCTACTGTTGGCCGTAAAAAACTGTAGAGTTTCGGTTTTGATAGGAAAATTAGAGAAAATTAGCGAGCCGAGCTCCGGCTACCGACTGATGGTTATTGGCCCTAATGGTGCCTGCAGGGAATCGAACCCGAGTCGGGTTGTGTCACGCCCGCATCGCACGCCATCCTCCGCCGGGGGTTCACATGGATGAGGAAATACCATCAATCTCATGACGCTTCTGAACGGACAGATACTCGTTTCATATTAAACATACTTACTACCTAGTGATTGATAACATTTAATCAGCGTTTATTACAATATGCACATTTTTAAATGTTTGTTTCTAAATATCATTTTGTACGTCCTTTTCACTGACAAGACTTTTTGATTCAGGTAACAAATAAACAAAATTTAAACGGAAATGTTGTCTATAACGTATAATATATAGAATGTAAAAACCTTCTATGTCACTTTTTAAACATTATGCGACTAAAAACATTCGTAAATAAAATCATAATGGCTTGTGAATCTATCCTATGCGCTTAAGCCAACATTCCCTCGGAGTACCGAATAACCCGCCGTATCGCACGATACCCTTCAACTAACGTCCTTATTCTAGACAACGAAAGCTGTACTCTCAAATGAAACCCATGAAATCTGTACGAACTACATAGTAGATATCTATGTAGTTACTTTCATCATATGATGTCAAGAAAATGTTGATACTAGGCAATCTTCAGTTAATGTAAATAATAAATAATAATAAAGCTAACAATAAATAAATAAATATTAATACAACATAGTCATTATAACAAACTAGTGCAGTAATTTCACATAAAAATAATTGATTATCAACTCAATTAAGATTTAAATAAATACCAAAAAATGGTTTTTGAAAGTACTGCCATCTAACCTATTTCTGCCGCCAAGTAGTAATATGAGCATTACTGCTTTCCGATTTGGAAAGATAAGAGTGCTGGTGAAATTACAGCACATGGGACTTGTCAAATTATGTCACAGTCGCAGTGGCAGTAATTTGCTTTACCTATGTGTAATTTATTATACCTATGGAATAAATTATTGACTTTGAGTTGTAGTGCCCCTAAGTACGTTGCGATTTAAAGCTCTAAATGGCACTGCAACTGTTATGGATAAGCGCATCTCGCTTACCAATAGGAAAGCGACTTGTTTGTCCCGTCCATGGGAATTAATTACCTATACAAAAATAACAAAAGACGGAAAAGATGGTAAAATAGAAAATCAAATAGATATATATTTATGTATATCTATTTGATTTTATTTAATTTATATATATTTATTTGAATATTTTGGTTAACCGCAGATTTAAAAACAGTATTTTATACATAAAACTTAACCCGGAGCAGATATTGCATTGGACCAGAAACCTGTCGTAGCGGAAGTCAAACTGAAACAAAAAGTTGTAAGAAAGCTGTAACGGTCTACGCACACGACGTATTTTATACGCGCAGACGACGTGCATAGGACGCGCTGACGACGCGCTGATGACGCGTGTTATATGATTCAAACGAGATTCAGTCGTAGCCAGTAAACCCATGCACACTTTCACAAATTCATACGTGTATCGCGCATTTTGATAAAAGATAGATTTAATTTTAGTTTTGATTATTAATTTCAATTAATTATTTAAATGAAGCAACTACATGAAATTCTAAGTATAAACTCCAGTGGAGTACATAAGCTTCTTGCTTGCAATGCGATGTTTGCGTGCTTTTGAATCGATTCTCTACAACGCATCTGCGGCGCGCATACGCACAGAAGACTGGCGTATACGCGCGTATGACGCGCGTTTACGGTGCCATAATAATATGGCGCGGTGGCGTGAGTGCGCACCCCTCCCCTGCTCCTTTCCTCAGTCTTGCAACGCGATGTTTGATTCTCGTTTGAATCGATACAAACGCAACAATCTGCTTTTCGAACATCTTCGATGCCGTCAACGATCAAAGCGCGTACTTGAAACGCGCTTTGAACGTCTGCGTGTATAAAATACGCCATGTGTGTAGGCCCTAAGGTCAATATTAGACATGACCTAAATTAATGATTCCCATAAGAGAGCAATGATAAGATCTCCCACTCAGTAGTTTCCTGAAAAAAATTATATAAGTCACCGAAGAGGATGTGACCAAAACTACAAAAATTCCGTCATGGAGGCGGAACACAACAACACAACAGCTCAAAAGGACACCATTTTGTACAAAATCTTGAATGACGGATGACATTTTAGATCTGTAAGATGACAGAAGGAAGTGGAAATGTGTAATGATCGCAAGGACAAAGAACTGCATGACACCATAAAGATTGAAATCAAGAACGCCAGAAATTGAATCCTAATGCACAATAATCTATTGGTACTGGTTATAAGATTGAAACTCTAAAAATAGTAAAACGCCGGGACCTGATAAAGTTATGGTAGAGGTTGTTAAACTCATCAAAGATGATAATCTCTTTATACTGCTTAACCTTTTCAACCAAATATGTGTAACCAGCATCATAGCACAGCAATGGCTTGTATCACTTATAAAATAACTAAATAAATAAACATCTGAAATTGTCACAGAAACTGCTCGATGTGGTCGATTAAATGTATGACATGGATACATGATAAAGGGTTTACACATCAACATTGCAAAGACCGAATACTTGTTGATCACGAAGAAGCCACCAATCAACTTAAAGCTATTTGTTGGGACTGAAGTAGTGGAAAAGATCAATAAGTTCAAGTATTTAATAAACTTAGATGAATGAAAGTGGAGATCATGCTCAAGAGATCAAAGTCCGCATCGAAATGGCTAGTTCCAATTTTAACTTTTGACGTGTGGATTTACTATTTATTTGTATTTTGAAAATCTCATGCCGTGAACGGGTTACAAATGAAGCTAAAGAAAAAAGTGTAGCTTATGAACACCGTTGAACGTAGCAAGATGTCGTACTTCGGTCACGTTATGACAAACAACAAGTACAAATTACTTTAGTTTCTCATCCATCAAAATCACTGAAAAACACAGTAAAAGGCGGCACTCCTTAAAGAATTTGAGAGAATGGTTCGGCTGCAGTACCACCTCGCTCTTTAAAGCACCAGCCTCTAAAGCCAGTATTGAAACTATTTTATCCAACCTCCGATGGAAGATGAACCCCAGGGAGAAGAAGAACCAATGTATTATATTCCTTGAAAACATTTGTAATCTTATTTCAAGTAATACGAATTTACGTGTAAATCCGGTGAAGCAGAAAAAAATTAATACCAAAATTACTTAAAGTGACCATTTGAAACAATTTTGCAATGTTCAATTTCTCCTTAAGGCGAATTTCAGGCGCCACATTGTTGCAGCGATACAGAATAGAGGGTTGTCTCGATAAACGCGCGATTGTCCAAGGATCGTGGGAAACGCAGTTTGCATATGATTTCGCCGAGGCATTTGCCTCTCAATGATGCCTCTTTCAGCTTCCAATAGTTCTTAGCCATTGTTGTTTTATTACCACCGGGGTCAGATAAACTTGTCACGTTTGAGCTACCGGACAATTGATGCCTGTGAATCAATTTTACCAAATAGGAATTTCATCTGACGCAACACAATGTTTTACGTTTTACAACACCGTAAGCAAACGCTGATCATAGTTGCAGCAGACACAATTTTGAAGATTAGTGGTTGCCTATCATTTGTTTTACTGCTCGTAAAATTTCAAATAAATCAAATTTTAATACAAAGTTGGTTTATAAAGTTAAACCTACATACTACAGAAGTAAATGTATATTTTCTATAATTTTATTACAAGCATATCGATTTAACGACAGTCGTCGACTGAGCAGTGAGTGTCTGACGGGTTGCATGCTGCGGACGGCATTCGGTCAATCCATGCAATTCCCAATGTTATCGGTCTAAATGCTGAAATTACAGGCGGGGCGAAGTGGAATTAGCGAGCACGCACAACCGTGTGGTATGGTATTTTCTCAACAATTTTTGCATACCACCATGGGAACTATCGGACGTATGCAGCTTCATTCTACTGGTTAATTAAGTTGTAAGTGGCGGATTCGTAATGTGCATGCATTGTGTCGATATTGTTGTGATTCACGGACCCATCTCGATCTTCAA